GCGGGCGGCCCTCGGGGGGCCCCCGAGGGGCCCCCCGGGGGCCCCAGGGGCCCCCTTGGAGGCCCCCCCACCCCACGCTTCTGCCCTCCAGCCACTCCCTGCAGCAACACACCAGCCAAAATATGTACTTCTATTTATAATATCAAATAGATATATATTTCTTTGCAAAGGGAAAGCAGCGAAAAGTTAAAATGATGCAAAAGCGCATGCAGACTCTGCCCCCAGCTCTGGGTAGAAGTGGACACAGCCACAGCTAGCTAGCTAGCTAGCCAGCTGGCTAGCTGGCTAGCTAGCTAGCTCTGGCTATGAGTGCTAGCTAGCTAGCTACGTCGCTGCACTTCAGAGTGAACACACCGACTGCTAGTTGGCTAGCTAGGTAGCTAGTTAGCTGGCTAGCTAGCTAGCTAGCTAGCTACCCACGTAGCTGGCTAGCCAGCCAGCTAGCCAGCTAGCTAGCTTGCCAGCTAGCTAGCTTGGGGTTGAACTGCATGCAGCTCACCGCTGCGGACTCTGGCCCGTTTGGCCCTGACGCCGTTGCTGCTGCTGCTGCAGCTCTTGAGAGTGTTGGAGTCGCTGGTGACGGACGCAGCGCAGCAGGACGAAAAAGGAGACAAAGGGACAGCAGCAGCAGCAGCAGCAGCAGCGCCAAGGGGATCTTGCTGCGAAGCGCCGGAACCCCCCTTCTTCAGTGAGGCAGCTTGCCGCTGCTGCTTTGCTGTAGCAGCAGCAGCAGCAGCAGCACCCCGCGGGCCTGGGCCACGGCCCCCAGAGGAGGGGACAGAAGCAACAGAAGAAGCTGCTGCAACTGACGGGCTGGAGACAGATATCGGCGTGGGCCGCTGCAGCAGCAGAAGCAGCAGCAGCAACAGCAGCAACTGCAGCAGCAGCAGCTGCAGCAGCAGTAGCAGTAGTGGCAGCAGCGCGAGCACCGCTAATCCCCTTGTGAAGCACGCGCTTACTACCGCAGCAGCAGCAACCCTGCAGCAGCAGCAGCAGCTCACCTCCTTGGTTTTGATCTTTTGCTGCCGCCTGCGGGGCTGCTGCTGCTGCTTCCTCTGAGACAAAGAAGCCGCGGGAGAAATGCTGCGGGAGACCTTGGGGAGGGCCTAAAAGGAGACAGTTGAAAAACAAAAATAAAACAAAATAAAATAAAATGAAGATATAATTAAAAAGGAAAATGTTAGAATGAATCAAATAATAAAAACGGACGAATGAGTTGGAGAAGGAGACAAAGGAGACTCAAAAAGGAAGGGAAGAAAAAGAAAAAGAACTAAACGGAGACAGTCGGAATAAACCTCAAGACCAATTAGGGGACAACTCCTGAAAAGACTCCAACTGACAGCAAGTGCAGCAGCAGCAGCAGCCAGTGCAACAGCAGCAGCAGCATTCGCAGCAACCCCTGCAGCAGCAACCCCAGCAGCCACTGCCGCAGCAACCCCAGCAGCCACTGCAGGAGCAGCAGCAGCAGCAGCCACTGCCGCAGCAACCCCAACAGCCACTGCAGCAGCAGCAGCAGCAGCAGCAGCAGCAAGACGCACTGGGAGGCAGACTGGGGCGTGTCTAAAGGCCTTCCACGGCAGCACGGGGACTCTGGCGAGGCGGCGGACGAGTTTGGGCGAAACGCCAAAAAGGTGGAAAGTGCTGCTGCTGCTCGCGGAGAGCCGCGAGCAGCGGCGGGCGAGCGCTTGCAGCCGGCGAGAGCGAAGCTGCAGCAGCAGCAGCAGCAGCAGCAGCAGCAGCAGCAGCAGCGGAGGCGGGGTCGGGCGGCGGCGCGGGGGCCCGCGGCGTGTGGGCAGAGCGGCAGCCGACAACACAGGCGAGAGACGCGCGATCGGGATCGGCTCAGCAGCAGCAGCAGCAGCAGCAGCGGCAGCAGCAGCAGCGGCAGGGCAGGGTGGGAGCCGGGAGGTAGCCCGCTGCGGCCTCAGGACTACTGGGGGACCCCGGGGCCCCCAGGAGGCGAGGGGGCCGGCGGGGGGCGCGGGGGCCCCCAGCAGCAGCAGCGACAGCAGCAGCAGCAGCGGGAGGGGGCCCCCCGAAAGGGGCTGCGGGGGGACTCACGCGCGGCTGGGCCCCGCCGCTCTCCATCAGCAGCAGGCGGGGGGCCCTGGGAGCGCTCGGTGCAGCAGCAAGCAGAGGCGGCAGCAGCAGCCCTTCTCCTCATTGCAGTAGGGGAGAGGGCTGCTGCTGCAGCGGGCGAAGCAGCTGCTGGGGCCGTCAGGCTGCAGCAGCAGCGCGGCAGGGCTGGGGCAGGGCAGCTAGGGGGCCCCCGCGCGCCCTCTTGGTGCTCATCTACGCAAAGATTTTGAAAAGGAACTCCGCAGCAAACTGAAAGAAAGAAAATCCGGGAAAGAATGCATCTTAGCAGCCCTCGCACCCGCGACGCCGGCAGGAGCGGGGCAGCAGGAGCGGCGCAGCAAGCCCAGCAGGAGCTGCTGCTTTCGCCTCTTCAAGCCGCAATTCTCCTTTAAAAATGACTTCTTTAATTATTATGCAGCCACGGAGAAGTCGAGTGCGGAAAAGAACGCCGCGCGCCACTCCCGCAGCTGTCCATACACCCCGCCGCTCTTCTGTCTGCCCTCCCCCAGCCCACGCGCGCCTCTGCCCCCCGCGCCTTCTTTCGCGCTTTCTCTTCCAATTAAAAAGTACTTTAGCAACTTTTCTAGTTTTGCTTCACAGCTAAAGGAAGATAGCCGCAAAAGCCTGGCTTTTCCGGCTAGCGGCTGGCCCGCCCGCTGCAGCAGCAGGTGCAGCCGCTGCTGCCGCTGCCCACGGATCCACGGCCCCCGCTTCGCCGCTCTTTGGCCTCCCTTTGCATTTAATTTCCACTTAAATGGCCGTTATTTAATTTTAAAACATTTCGCCCCTAGTGGCTGCACTTCCCCGCGACCGACTAGCCGCTGCAGCAGACAGCAACAGCTGTCCCGGAGGCGGCAGCAGCAGCAGCAGCAGCTTGCTGCGCTTGCTGCTGCGCGTCCGCCCCGCTACGCAGCTCAGGCACTGCGGGGGCCCCCCAGAGACTCAGTGACAGCCCCAGGGGGGCCTCCATGACCCCCCAGCGGGGCTTGGGCCCTGCATGCCGCTGCCTACTCGGGGGGCCCCCCTAGGGGCCCCCAGCGGGGGGCCCCCCTGCGGCCCCCAGTGGGCCCCAGGGCTATATGAGTTCTTTGTGGACTCCATATAAGCAAAAACGTTTGCTGAACTTCACGAAACATTTACTTGAGTTGGAACTCTAGGTCTAAATGGATCTCCAAATGGACATATTCTGAAAATGAATGCATTTCCACATATCTTACTTGCCAAGGAAATGCAGAAAAAAAATATATTTTAATATATTTATATATATGTATATATGCATACATGTATATGCATATATAATATATATGTAAATATATGTATATATATTACATATATGGACACTGGCTACGAATTGGATACTCTCTCTCTTGAAATATATATATATTAGCCATCTATATATATATATATGTATATATGTATATATATACATATACATATATATATACATATTATATACTGGATATTATATTTATAATTTACTAGATATATATTATGCAACATACATGTACTCAGGAGTGGAGTTTATGGCCATCTGTGTGTTTTAGAGGAACATTTCTGTCTAATTTTATGCAAAATATGTTACATTATGGTAAACATATATAAATATTTACGTTAAAAAGGAAATAAATATATACATATCTCTGCATATTCTGAATAGCTACAATACAGATTAAATATGCATATGTATATTTATGCATATGTACATATGCATAAATATATATATATATAGACGTTTTGTTTACAACATATATTATCTATAATGTAACTGTTTGAAACATTTAAACTCTTTAAAATATTTATTTTGGCATTTGGAAGCTGCCTTCGCTTCAGACAGGCGCATGCATGCACTAGCGTTGCCTCTCCATTAAAAGAGCCGCAACAAAACCAAATAAATATATTATTTTCAAAGCATCTGAAGGAGTAAATAAAGAGAAATGAAATATATAAATATTGTATTAATGCCTTTGCGCAGCTAGCTAGCTAGATGCCCCAAACTGCTGCTGGGGGCCCCTAGCCAAAGCCCCAAGTCCCCGGCCGCTGCATGCGCCGCCTCCGGGGCTGCTGCAGCGCTGCAGCAGCAGCAGGCACTGCAGCAGCAGCAAGGACTGCAGCAGCAGCAGGGACTGCAGCAGCAGCAGGCACTGCAGCAGTTTAAACGAGGCCCGAGGGGAGGGCTGGCTGCCCCCTGGGGTGTCTGGACAGCTCCCAGCCAAGCTGCCCCGGCTGCAAAGAAGCAGAAGCGCCTCAGCTCTGAATATTCGAGCCCAGCTGCTGCTCCGGCGCTGCTGCTGCTGCTGCTGCTGCTGCTGCTGCTGCTGCTGCTGCTGCTGCTGCTGCTGCTGCTGCTGCTGCTGCTGCTGCTGCTGCTGCTGCTGCTGCTGCTGCTGCTGCTGCTGCTGCTGCTGCTGCTGCTGCTGCTGCTGCTGCTGCTGCTGCTGCTGCTGCTGCTGCTGCTGCTGCTGCTGCTGCTGCTGCTGCTGCTGCTGCTGCTGCTGCTGCTGCTGCAGCA